GGTCTGGCTGAGGGTGGTCACGACGGCACCGCCGCTCTGAGGGAAAGGCACGGCAGAAACCCCCGGAGCTGCAAACCCAGCACTCGGGAAGCAGCCACGGACGGATGCGACGCACGCGGGGCCCTTTCTTCTTTCACCCCACAGTTATTTCAGTTCCAAAATTCTCCACAGTGGACTTACGGAAGCGTTCCCAGCCACGCGCAGCACGGGGAGCACAGCACAGCCGTCTCCGGTGCCGGCATCTCACCGTGGCGTTCCCACCCGGACACAGCTTTGCCTCGAAACAACTGAAATACTCTAAAAAGGACTTTTTCTGCATAGTTCCAAATCTCAAGACTACCTCTTAGAGGTGTTGGCACCCAGGGGACTGGAAATGAAGCTGAAGGAGTTGACCTCCTACAGCAAAAAGTTTAACAGGTTTTTTGAGGAACTGCAAGTTCTCATCAGTTCAAAAAATCACAACCCAAAGTGTCATTAAGGCTATTACCCACCTCCAGCTCGGGAAGCAGCACCAGCCACAAGCTGGAGCTTGGCCGGTAATCAAGAGCAGCACTGTTAGGTGCTCGCCCTGTTCTTACTCTTTGGCTGTCAGAAGCATTGATGGGTCCAACCCTCGCACCCTCCCTCGCTGGGAACTGTGCCATGGCAGAGCTGTAGCTTTATGCCCATCGGCGCCGAGCTTTAATTGCTGAGAATAACGCACCCAAAGGTGCAGATCGAACTCACCCAGTCATTCATCATCATCTTCCTCAGGTTGTACACGAGTGTCAGCTCCTCTGGAGAAACCTGGTGAAGAATGGCTGCGTCACTTCTTTTGCCAGCAGTGTCTATCCAGACATAAATTCCTCTCTCCTGCTTTAAATTGGACTGGAAGGATCACTCGCATCCTTCAGGCACATTTTTTTTTCCTTGCTACAACCCAGCTCTGTAGTGTTCAGCCTCAGTAACCTCCCGTGACAAGACATACGTGCGCTTTGTCTTACTGAGAGAACTTCCCTGAGCAAAAACGGGCTAAACACAGCATGAATTCTGCAGGTCCCCCCAGGCTAGCAAAGCCAAACGTACGTCCTTCGGGGATTGCTACAGAACTTAAAAATGAACACGCACCCCCCACACCCCCGCTCTCCCTTGCAGTCGGAATGCGGAAATACCGCCAGAGGTGACTTCTCACAGGGCTTTTGTCTTCCTTCTTTAACGTAGTCCTTCCCCAGAGCGCGTTGACACCGTCCACCGCCACCAGAAGTCGGAATGAGCCGAGGCGACATTGCTGCTTTATCTCTTTCAGCACAGCCCCTACCGCATCACTGGCATTTCGCACGCGAGCTAAACCCTTTAAGTAGGAAAAGGCACAGAACTCAGGTGGGTTTCCTTGTTAATACCCGGTGCTGGCACCCCTGGGCACTGCCAGCCCTTCCTAGGGGGGAGGGAGACAAAACGAGCCAACGGTCCGCTCGTCCCTGTCAAAGGAGCAAGCTGGTCTAAGGCGCTGCGCATCAAAAGCAGCAGGAACTTTCAAATTCTGGTTTTTGCTTCTACCCAAGTTCTCTGTACAGCTTCCTTTACAGACCCAGCACACCTTCCACAGCATTTTTTGTAGCCAGCTTGATAGGGAAACTCCTTCCGGTTCCTAGAACTGGTATCTGTAACATCTCTAGAAGCCGTTTGTTCTATAAACACACTGGTGGGATCTTCTAATAAAAGGCGAGACAAAGCCAGGAGCCCTCATCATTCCTTACCTGCTCCACCACTTCTCCCAACGGGCTGCCCTCCTCCGTGCTGTCTCGTTTGCCCCACACGTATTTTTTTTGTGTTTTTATCTGCAGTAAGAGAACTACGAATTAAACTGGGAACTAAGGAGTGCAAAGGCAGCCTGGCAAGATCCCTGGTTCTCTGCCCGTGTCAGAGACTAGTGCAGAACCTGGGAGAAGTATTCATCTCAAACAGCCGTCCCCGCAGGGGGCTCTGAAGTACTTCTTTTTCTACAACAACCGAATTCCAGCGAAGGGCAGGGTCTGTACGCCACGTGAGTGCATGCATTAATACATGAACCATTTCTTGACAATGAGCAAACCCAGAATTCGCGTCGAGGTGCTCCATGACGGGAAGCCCGTGCACATGCAGTCCCCCAGAGATGATCCTTTGGGTAGTTCTTAACTTAGAACAACCTGACAGGCTCTACAAACCTCTTTTAGGAAGCGCTCGTTTGAGGTTTTGAAGTTCTTGATGCATTCTTTTTTTTTTTTTTTTAAAGTCAAAATAATTGTACGAGTTGGGTGGTGGGTGTGTGTTTGGATCTCTTATCCTTATTCCGCTACACTGGTAAGGAAAGTCTGCCATCCTGAAGGAACAAGGCTCTTCCTCGAGAAGAGCGGAGGTCGCACAGACCCACACAGTTTGTCTCCTGTCACACTCATTAACGGCGGGGGAAAAAGATTGACTCTGAGCATGTGAGAGCATGTGAAAATGACTAATCATGTTCTACTTTATCTGGGGGGGTTGTGCTTTATAAGCCTTCCCCACTATGGAAGAAACAAAGATAGTTTGCTGTGGCAAACCTTACACGTGAAGAAGCATCTTCCGGCCCAGCAAGCGTACCTGACGCAGTGACACGGACAGCGCCGGCGTTCTTACCGTCTGGGATGTGCAGCACCAGCCAGCCCTGCCTCGCGCAGTAGTGAACCACGTGACACAGCGTCATGGTTTTCCCCGTTCCTTTCTCACCATCTCCAACACGCACCGTCAAGGAAAGTCTCCAAAAAACCACTTCAGTTTAGACTTGACCATCATGCTTTCACAGAAGGCATAGAGGAAGTTCCGAGGGCAGGGATGGCATTCCATCGGGATGGCATTCCATCCTGCTTTTGTCCAGCAGCAAGCCCAACCTAAAGACTTTCTCTCTCCTCCCACTCCACTGTATCAGAGCTGCTGATTCCCATTCCCATAGCCTGTTTGTGGATCTGTGCCACAAGCGAAACCTGGCTTAAAATACGAGTTCACAAAGTCCATGAACTTCTCAGACTAGCTTTGCTGACACAGACATGTGGCAGAACCACCTCCCAAAGACTAAACCACAGTGGTCAGCACGGGATCAAAACATCGCCCTCATCTGTGGAAACTCACCTGCTTGCATTTAATTTGCATTTAATTTGCATTCTACCATCAAGGAAGTGACAAAAGATACAGATCACATATCTGACAGCTGGGTGTGCAAAGTTGGAGCTCTTCAGGTAAGAGAGAAGTTCTAGCGCTGGTTTTCGCACCATCAGGCAGGCTTCATTGAAGGTCTTAATCTGGGAAAAGGAACAGAACATGAACACAAAGCCGGGTGCCAGCACACTACAGCCGTTCCTGACGCGACTCCATCGCTGACCCACCCAGACCCACCCAGAATTCCCGACACTGCCCTGGGGAGGCCCCATCTGGAGTACTGTGTCCAGTGCTGGGCTCCCCAGTTCAGGAAAGACGAGGAGCTACTGGAGAGAGTCCAGCAGAGGGCTACGAGGATGAGGAGGGGACTGGAACATCTCTCCTACAAGGAGAGGCTGAGGGAGCTGGGCTTGTTCAGCCTGGAGAAGAGAAGGCTGAGAGGGGACCTAATACATACTTACAAATATCTGAAGGGTGGGTGTCAGGAGGATGGGGCCAGGCTCTTTTCAGTGGTGCCCAGTGACAGGACAAGGGGCAATGGGCACAAACTGAGGCACAGGAAGTTCCACCTGAACATGAGGAAGAACTACAGAGGTCCCTTCCAGCCCCTACGATTCTGGGATTCTGTGACTCAGGGGTAAGCAGTCTCCTCCCAAACTCACGTAGGCAGTCTACGGTAGCTGCTTACGCAGCCTGATCCAGTCACAGCATGATCTGTCTCACAACAGAGATCTGGAAGGTTTTTTTGTTGCTGATACAAGCTTATTTCATGAGACAGCCTCTTTCATACAGAAATGTAACTGTGGAAAGTATGTCTGTGATTGTGTACTCAGAGATGAAAAATACTGGATAGAACGCTGCCTAAGGTGGAATCCTCACCCTCCTGCCACTATCCTGGTTAGGGTGACTGATATCTTTCAGATGTAAAAAATAACAGTAAGGACCAGGGATACTGCATTTTCACAGCATGTCACTCTCTTATCCCAACAGGAAAGCATCGTAGTTACGCGATGGATCTGGTTCTCCCTCCCATACTGGTCCAGCCGCTATGAATCTGCTCTGAGCCGAAGTACCTGCTGCTGGAAGCGGGGGGGCAGTCCGTGTGGAAACACAGCCTTCACCTCCTCCAGTGGAATGCTGTAATGGCGGCCCTCGTGGCGTTCTGCGTGGTTGGCCTGGGAAGGTAAAATGCAAACTGTTACACGTGGGAAAGTCTGATCCCTTTTTTCTGGGTGCAGAGGGCCTGTGAGAATGGAACAGGGCGGGAACGCTCAGTCACAGCGAGCCCCTACTGACGGGGAGTCAGAAGAACTCACGTTATCAAGGTAAAGCAGGAAGTGTAGCGTCAGGACACTCCTGGCAGGTGCTCAGGAGAGTTTAAAGAAAGCTTATCCTACCTGGCAATAAACAATAAAGGGGTTCCTGGAGCTTGTATACGAGCCGTTGTGTTTTGTGGGCACCGGCTGCCCTGTGCTTCATGAATTTGTTTAATCTTTCATTGATGCACTTGTACTGCTGGTCACCACAATATCTTAACACAGAGGGGGATCGTGCTGCTGTTATCAGATAGATTCAAATTTACTTTTAAGTCTGCGACAGAATTATGTTTTCTGATTTGTTCTTTGCTGTCTCTCAATAGCAATTCCTAATGCGCTGTTTGCCTTTCTAACCAGGCCGGGTTGCTGGAGAACTCTGCTTCCTGATCTGTTTTCTGGGGCACTAATCTCAAGTCCCCGGCGGTGACAGACGTGTTCAGCGTTACTCCTCCAGCGGGCTTGCATCGTTGTGCATTTATGTGTAGTGACGACTCTAAGACCTCTGACTACGCACTCTAAGAAGTGGTAGTTCCTGGTATCTGAAAATGTAATACCCGTTTCACGCCTTGTTACACATCCTTGCTTTTTCCCTTCATTATTCTATTTTCCTACCATTCAGTACTTGCAAAGCACTTATTTATTCCCTCTCGGTCTAGTCACCGCGTTTTGTGTCTTGTGTAATTAGGACAGCACTGCCTGTGTGACTTTTATCAGCTTTTGTGCCAAGCTTTGTCTGTTTTTTTTTGGCAGCTTTGTGCCCAGCTTTGAAGCTTATATCATGTCCTGCTCTGCACTTTCCACACTCTTCCATGGGTTTAAAGTCAAAAAATCCTCCTCTGTATTCTTGTGATCTCTTGCTTCCATTTTGGTTGAGAAGGAATCAGAATACAACTTCCTTGTTTGCTTTATTTTGCGTAATAATGATCCAGGACAAGTAGTTTTTTAGAAAGAAAAAGCAGCACTCATTGTTTCTGCCAGCTTTAGCAGATCCAGGGGCTGATCCAGACTTTCCTTGTGTTCCTCCTCAGCTTTGGTGTAGGCCCAGGACTTACTTTCCTGAGGCCCAAATGAGATGATACTGGGGTGGGCTTGGTTGCTCACCTGTGCAATCTGGCCAACAAATGGTTCGACCAGAACAAACAGATGGGGCAAAAGAGGTTGTGATGAGTGCTGCAGCCCCGACCCAGCTGCCTGCTGCATTCCTCACGTGAAACCATGGCTGCCTGCTGCATTCCTCACGTGAAACCATGGCAGCAGCTGCACCTGGAGGGGTGACTGCTGCCTGCTTTTGCCAGGAATATGTTGCTTTTCCCAGTTCCTTGATGGACTTCTCCTCTATTGCAGGCCCAGGGATTCTCTAGCCCCGGGTTTCTTGCTACGTGTTAGTCTCCCTCCCTTCCTGCAGACCAGATTTTCAGTCTTCCAGCACACAGCATGCCTGTTGTCTTATCTCCTGCCCCTCACCCCGAAAAGCCCGTGGTAACTACAGCCCTGTTCCACAGCTTGCTGAGGACAGGTCAGTGCGTCCCGGACTGCGTGGTCTACCTTGGTACAGCTGCGGGATTCGAGCTAGCCACAGGTTTGCCAGGTTATTTATATGAAGAAACCATCTGGGAACTTCAGCAAACCGCTAAGCTGCTGGAGCTGCCAGTCTGGTGTTTGCTGGTCAGTAAATCTTAGCAACAGGAAGACAGTTTAAAAAACCTGGCTAGTCAATAGCTCCTCTGCTGCAAGGAGATGTTACCTGGAGCCAGACTGAAGAGGAGACCCATTAAGAGGGACTTCAGTCTTTTCCCACACAGGGCTTTATTTCAAACCCCGGGCTGGATTCCATAGTTTTCCCACACATGTTGGACACAGACTAACAGCACCTGTGTTTTCGCATGCCAGCGTTATCCGTGGGCTCGGGCAGAGGAGCAGTACTCCAGAGACCATTTGCATTCTCAGTTTCATCTCTGACTTGCTGCATAACCTCGGGCAAATTCCTTCACTCCTCAGCTGCCAGATCCGTAAAGTGGGTCGGTATCTTTATCCTCATGTTTAGTCACCTCGAGGTTTGCTAACGGGAAGGTATATAAAAGCTAAGTCTTATTAAAAATTTAGTCTTCATCTGGTCGTCTTAATCCATTTTTAATGGGACTTTATGGTGCACAAGCACGGGTGCAGTCAGAGCTATCGGGTTTGCTGATGAAGCGAGCCAGCGGAGCCTCTCTGCCGCAATACAGCGAGTCTGAGGAACGCTGATCCGAGAAATTAATAAGCAATGGCGGTTGTCGCCAAACATCAGGCACGTGAAGTCAGAATGCCAAAGCCAGTTGCCTGGCAACGTAAATGGTAGGCACAGGACAGTGGGGACAATCCTTGCCATCTGGACTCTTCTGTGCAATCTATAGAGACACTCGCATCACGTGAGTAAGATCATCTGCATGCTGCTGTTTCCATAGAGACCCCGGAGGAATCAGCATTGAAAGACTCCAATTACAGAGGCAGCAGAAAAGCACCTCAAAGGCTTATTCCATTCATTTATTCCACTTCATTTTGTGCTTGAGACGGAGAGTGTGAGGCTGGAATTATGATGCTGGAGAGCTGTGCTGGGCTGAGGTCATCTGGGGCGTGTTTTTTATCCCCCTTCACAGCCAATTTGGGGAGGTTAGTCAGGGAAGAATAACCCTGGAGTGGAAATTAATGGTGTCTGATGACATGCTAAGCCCCATCTGAGCTTCGACAATACACAGTCTATCTCATCTGTGCCACGACAGAGCAGGAATCGATACTTGTTCCCAGGAGCTCTCAGGCAGAGGACCAGCCCTGTCTCGTTTAAACCCCGGCAGGCGCACGGCACGGCCATGGCCTGTTTTCCTTCGGGGCAGGGATCGTGCTCTGGATGCCTGTTATCAGGCCTGTGTGCTCCCTTCCCTGACGTTCCCTAGGACAACACGATCCCCGTAAGCGCCCTGGGCTCCAGCGTGTCCACAGGCAGTCTGATGGAATTCAGGCACTTGCTGCCCGACAGTAACAGTCGTGGCAGTAACTCACCGGGTCGTCCTCGCTGGTGTAGAAAACTGCTCTTGATCCTCCCGCCAGTGCTGCGGCATCCCAGCTGACAGGGGAACTTAAGCAGCCCTTGGCTGTCGTATGGAGGGCATAGACATGGTCCAACTAAGGAAAGAAAAAGGCAAACAGAGAGCACATTTCTCAGCAGTCAAAGATCCTTGGTAAAAAATCCAGGTACTGGTTTGTTTTGTACACTCCCTGCATGCCCATGATGAGCGTACCATGGCAGCATGCGATACAGAACAGAATTCTCTGCAGTTAGAATAAAAATTCATCATTGGAATGTAAAACTCATCACGAAATCCCAACATGCTTTAGCACCGCACCTCACATTTTGATGCCTGCTTCTAAACCACTTCCATTCCCTTAAGTCACCCAGAGCACCAAGCCCTGCCCCTGACAGAGTTATCCACAGCCGTTACGGTCTGACTGCCAGGAAGTTCCGCCGATGTTTCTGCCTACGCTGATGAACAGCAGCTAGTACCTTGAAAACTCCAGCTGCCTAGTAATCCATAATCACCTCAATAACTGGAGGATTAGTGCAGTGCTGCCCACTATTTGATATTTATAATTACCTTCCCCACACTGATTTTCCTAACTGTGTCCCTGCATACAGGCTCTTCCATTATAACGCAGACATGGCTGAGAAACCGAAGCAGCCAGCTAAGCTGATTAATTCTCTTTTCCACAGACTGCTGAAGCATGCCTGTAACGCGCAGCCAAAATAGGCACGAAAGCGAGTAGTAGAAGGCCAAGCATTTTATTACGTTATGGTGAAAGAAAATATGAGCATTTGGCAATGAATAAGAAAAGTGTATACTCCGAAGAGAAGCTGTGACCAAGGCAAGCAAACCGAAAGCTGCCGTTGCTCTTACTGACTGGAACAGTTGCAGGCTCCGCTGTAAACAGAGCAAGCAGTTTCCTATTTTGTCTGTCTGCGTAGAGGAGAGTGGCTATAAACTGAAGTTTAGAGACAGGAACAGCTGTTTCGGTTCTCCATGGCATGACGCAATTCTGCTGTCATCCCAGCTCAGAAAAGAGTGGGATGTCGGATCACCCCACATCCCCCGTATTACCCCACATCCCCGTTAAACACACAACGGGCTCCTGAATCAGCAATTCAGCACTCTTCTTTTAGGGGAGGGATTCAGCTGTTTGTACTCAACACTAGGCACCTATAGAACGAATTCCTGCAGTGTAAATATGGGAGATCGGTGAACATTCACCTCTGTCATCACATTTTAACACCACCTTCTCTTGTTCCCACAGTGTTCTTTTCCTCCTCAAATCCGAACAATCAATTAGGATGTCTTATCTGGCTAGGTTTAGTTTTAAGTCCACAGAAGTGACTTTATTTACAGCCTACAGCAAGGCACTAAGATGCTCATTTAATACATGAATAACTAGAGCAAGTGACTATTGTCACCCATTCACCTAGAAAATGTCAGCCCTAGGTCATTTCTAGCCTGGAATCATAGTGCCTCTCATTTTCTTTGAGCATCCCACATTCCCTCCGCCTCAAATCTCAAGTGAACGTCTTGGGGCTGTGACCTTTGCTCACTTAAAAGAAAAGGCAAGCCCACTGCTCTGCGGACACCCTTTCTTTGGAGGACCGCACAAATCCTCGTCGCTGACCTGCGTAACAGTGAAGGAATTAACTTCTTGCTCTGACCGTGTTCAGTTCTTGTGCGTGCCTAAGGCTCAGCTCCAGACTTGAGCTGAATGATACGTAGTCAAACCAATATTAGCAACGCCACTTTTTTAAAAGCACAATCTCAGAAGATCGGCAGGAGCTGGGTTCTCTGAGGTACAAAAGCCAGCTCCTGCTAAGCTCTGTGAAGGGAGTGGAAGACAGGATGCAAGTGTGGGAGGGATGCGTCTTGAAGCCCAGTCCTCTGTTCTTGCCGCCAACCACACAGAATTTCTATTTTTCCATCAACAGAACGTATCTCATCTTTAAATTAGTGCATCTTTCTCCGGGAAGGACACCGGTTTGGAACATCACTTCTTTGAGCCTTAGCGCGACAGGTCTTCCCCACAACCACCATCTAGCCTCGCAGTGCTTTGGAACTGCTCCTGTGCGGATGCTAGCTTGCACGGGGCTGCAGAAGCAGCTTCTAAGCTGGAGACATGAAACCCTTCCCAGCTCTGAAGTGCTACAAAAATCAGGAGAAGCTCCTAGAGCAGCGAATACAGCACTGCTCACAGTTATGTGGAATGTGAGGGACACAGACTTGCATTTTATGAATTACTGCATTCCCATTTACAAAATGCACGCAGAAGCGCATCTGCATTTTTAACAGGCTCCAAGAACACGTCTGAGTGACCCAGAATGCCACTGCTAACGCATTGTATATTCTGACTTTATCGCAGCAGCTAAACGGGAGACAGCGGCTTATCACTGCTCCCCTCAGCTGCACGCAGAATGGCTCGGGGTAGAGCTCTGCGTAGTAAATCCTAACACGTACGTAAGGTTCTCCTGTTTTTAGGGCAGTTTGTGCTCGTAGCGTAGAGTGGATTTTATAGTGAGTTTCCATCTGCCAAAGGACCGAGTAATCTAACTCGGATCCCTGAAATGGCAGCAAACTATCACGTGGTGCGTGGAGATTCATCACAAAGTCATGTGCCATGAGGTGGAGCTGTTCCTACACGATTCCACATCTCTCTGCATTTCATCAAGGCTGCCATCATAAGCATAGTAACTGCAGCCAGGATCTCCTCTCTGGAAACGAGTATTTCTACAGCCATCCTCTTTAACGGCTGCACCTCGCTACGTCCTCGTGAAAAAGCACTGAAAAGACGACAGCAAGGAAAACAACTGCAATTCTTCACCGTTAGGAAGTCACTCCAGCTAGGCAGCGTTGATTCATTATGCTGTTTCTAATATATGGAAGCCGCACTGGTAGCGCAGTGCTGCTGTTTTGGCAGAGCTGGTGTTACTGCACCCACCTGAAGCACTCCGCTGTCTTTGCAGAATTACCTTCCCGCCAGCCGCAGAGGCTTTGGGAACAGCGGGTGGTTCTCTCCCGAACAGAGGCCTTCTTCCCCCGTGCCTCCCAGCAGCGCAGAGCAAGTCGATTCCCTGTTTCCCGAGAAACACTTGCACTGAAGATGCAGAATTTCAGCATTCCGGGCATTTCAGAATACTAAAATTCAGTCTTTTGACAAATGTCTCACTGAAGCCAGTTATCCAGGCTTGCTGGCACGTTCTCTCTCCAGTCAGCGGAGAGAAGGGAGGAGGGGTAACGCGCGCCAGCAGTCTCTCTTTCCTTTGCCCATAATGGGAGTTTACGCCACCAGCTTATAGGGGACACCGAAGTTTCAGGTGACAAATGTAAGACGAATCTCGCTTCTTACAGTTGTCACGCCAGGTCACAGGACAGCTGCAGTGCTGGAGCAGCATCCCGCTCCTACGGGACTTACCTTTAGAGGATGGCAGACGAGTCCTTTCAGACTTCTCAGCATTTTTTCTGCAGAGACAGAAGTGGATTTTTTAGGGGTTTTTTATTATGTTTACTGTATCTTACGCTGGGAGAGCATCGCTCCTGCCCAAAGAGCTGAAAGTCTAGGCACACAGATCCTTCAAGCTGTCAGAACGCTCTGCAGCACTACAGCTGACTACTGGTAAGCAGCATCGTTTGTCTAACAAAAAAATATTCCATTAATTATTGCCTTTTTTCAGAGAAAAATATAAAATACTTCAAGAATAAGCAGAGAGCTGTGGCGGCCAATTGACTCCTTTCACTTTGCCACGCTCGCGTGTAGTGCAGCGGAGAAAGGAGAAACCCAGTTCCCCAGGAGAACGTACCCCGTTGGTCTCAGACCACGGGTTTAACAGCCAGAAAAGCAGGGATGGGAAAGCTCTTTTCTCAAACACAACCAGTAAAATTAAGGAGCCACCAGACCCTGAAAGTTCCTCTTTATTTTGGGCACCCCCGACGCTGCGATGGAGCTCTCGAACGACTGCTCTAGCGCGAGCTGTGAGGGCTCTCTCCAGCTCGGCCGTCTGCGGGAGAGGGGCTTTAGCAGGAGACAGAACTGTGGCCCCTTCACCGCTCTGTCCCCGGGGCAGCCCCGGTGCTAGCCGGCTCGGCACCCCGCGCCGCTGCGCAGACAGCGCCTGTCTGCCCGCGTTACGGCGGGGCTTTTCACCCCCGGAATCACA